AGAAAAATTCCCTTGAATAACAATATACACATGTTTTACACATTACATTAAGCAACTTTTCCTATTTAATAATTTTCATTCTATTTCTCTTTTTTCCACATGATTTTCGCAAACATTATACTCGCGGCTAAACAAAACTACAATTTTAATAAAATTGCAGAACTGAGAAACAAATACTATTACTAATAAACAAATACTATTACTTATTGTTAGACGATATGACGAATTTGAAATGTGTAGAATCGAATAAATCACGACCAGCCCTGCTACGCGTGAACTTGTTTTCCCGACTGACATCTCGGACGTTCAAATGCATTTTTTACGTAATTGCGTAGTAAATTTATCGTTTTATTGTTTATTCACAATTGTTATCACAATTATTATCACAAAACTCCGACTGCGTTAAAATATGTCCAATATAAGCGTATATTTGTCAAAATGATGTTTGCAATTACTCTCGTTGCGTTCTCTTTCTCCCTCTTTCTCTCTCTCTCTCTCTTTCTCTTTCTCTCTCTCGCTTTCTTGTTCTTCTTTTCTCGCTCTTTCTCATTTTCTCTTTCTCTCTTGCTCGTTCACTTCTACTCTCTTTAATTCTCCCTCATTCTCTCTCCTAGTCTCTCTCTTATTTTCTCTTACTCTCTTTTTTTCTCATTCTCTTTCACTTTTTCTTTTTTTTCTTCTCATACATTTTCTCATACAAGAGAACAGATTTCTTTCTTATCACGCGTCGTGTAAACGCATGTATATTGCCATCTATTAAATACCACATTTAAACGGACATTTCCCCACCACTAGATCGGACGAATTTCCCCACCACTTGCCCATCTAGCCAGAAAAGGTGAAAAATAAGAGGTTAAAACGTTTTCTGTAAGCTTCGAAAATAAGACTCGGACGAGAAAAACACATTAATACTTTTCTTTTCTGCTTTTTTACTTGAATCGATTGAGAGTAGAATGAAGCCGATCGGTTCACTCAGTATTAAGATATTGCTAATTGAATTTTCCCCCACTCCTAAAATTCTTCATTTTCGCGTATATAGAGGCACGGTGTGCCTCGCACAGTTCGTACGCACTCCGTGCGCGTGAACTTGGCGCGAGGCACTACCGTGCCTCTTGATACGTGTGTTTTGAATTAAAATTTCAATTCTTAAATTCATATAGGATGCTATATTTGCATCACATATATGAGAGACCATGTATACCCCCCTAAATAATTTTAAAATATTGCAAAAAAAACTCCTCGGCCAGAAGTCGAACCTGGAATCTCCGGCTTTCCGTGCCATCCTCTTTCCTACTCGGCTACCGAGGCACTTGGAGTTTATCTCGCAATATTCGTATATATCAAGATGTAAGTTGAAAATAACGCACTTCTTCCATTGGCGTAGATTAATAAACAGTTTTAAGGCTCTTGAAAAGCAAACAACGTGAAATTTTCGATCAATGAGAACCGAACACTGGATGTTTGTCGTATTTTGTATATATATACCCAAATAACCAAGACTGAGTGAGCATATTTTGCAAAGTCTGCAATAACACATTATGCCAGTATAATGTAGCCAGCATTCAAACATAATCTGTTATTTCAACTAGTGTCGACAGAAAAACAGAAAAAAAAGAGAATATAAATGTGTCATGCCATGATGCAAATATTATTGCATCTATCAAGCAGAACTTGCTCAAAAAAATGTAGCAGATTTGAAGCATAACGTGCTATTGTCATTTTATTCTTTATTTATTTCTATATTTTTGCTGTGTTGTTTTCTTTACATAATTCACTCACTATGATGACACAGATGAATGGAATCTGCTGCAAAGTGTTGATTAAACCTGTGTGCATACTGCTATCATTTGGCAAACAATACAATAATTGTCCAAAGATAAAAGAATTTAAATCAGTTGAAGAACGAATGTGTCATTCAACAAATGTGACATTCAACAAATGTGACATTTTTGTATGGAATCCGGTACATAACTGTGATGCCGTTTTTATAAGCATGTTTGTATGTGTGTTAAACATTATATATGTGATGATGTTGTATCTTATGTAAAAACTATCACAAAAAGTCTAACCAAGTTCAAAATTAACATAAACAATACTATTATACCGACGTACAGAAATATAAATCAGTTATCGAAGTTTAAAACCCTCAAAAGTGTAGTTCTAACTTACAAACAAAAAAACGTAGTCTATCTATTGCATCTCTTGTAACAACTGTGAAGCTAAATACAATATATAAGACAGACAATTGTACACCAGAGTGAAAGAACATATTAACAACATACTATAGTAACTCTGTGTTTCTCATGATGTTTAAACATCCTTCGTGTTTTTTATGTAACATTTCGGCTGTGAGACGTTTGTGATAATTTGGTTCGATATCGAAGATCTGTACCACATTTCATTTGATACTGTGCCCAGTTTCGGAGTAATGTTTTGCTATAACTTAATTTTTTATTTGTCTTTTTTTAACGTTGTTAATATGTTCTTTCACTCTGGTGTACAATTGTCTGTCTTATATATTGTATTTAGCTTCACAGTTGTTACAAGAGATGCAATAGATAGACTACGTTTTTTTGTTTGTAAGTTAGAACTACACTTTTGTGGGTTTTAAACTTCGATAACTGATTTATATTTCTGTACGCCGGTATGATAGTATTGTTTATGTTAATTTTGAACTTGGTTAGACTTTTTGTGGTAGTTTTTACATAAGATACAACATCATCACATATATAATGTTTAACACACATACAAACATGCTTATAAAAACGGCATCACAGTTATGTACCGGATTCCATACAAAAATGTCACATTTGTTGAATGTCACATTTGTTGAATGACACATTCGTTCTTCAACTGATTTAAATTCTTTTATCTTTGGACAATTATTGTATTGTTTCAATTCTTAATAAAATGTGACGGCGCTTTTTTTTTACAAAAAACACTCACTTCTTATTATATGTAAGTCATACTTCTTATTTATATACTACCAATCTTTCACTAACAAATACTCTCTTAAATATATGTAGATCACCATTTTTAACATTATTTATTATTAATATACAGCATTATTTAGCTGAAGAGGATTTTAATAACGATCAAAACGTTTTGACAGCTAACTCTGTACAAAAAATTCTATTACTGCAAAACACTCTGCATTGGTTCTTTAACGTCTGTTTTCAAAATTTCCAATCTGGTATAACCACAATAATCGGAGGTCACTTCTCATTCTACCACAATATTAATCATTTAATTTGTTTGAATCAGGCCAAGTGCTCAGATCTGATGAGACATCTTCTTCTAATGTTTAATCTTAATGTTTTATCTTCCTATTGTTTTAGTTTTCTAGAGGATGTTAAAAAGTGGTCGATTTTTGCCCCCGGTGCGGTAAGTAATGTTTGAGTGCTTTTTAATAGATTTTTGGTCGTAAAATCACATGACGTATTTAGTTTTTTCATAACATGCAGGAAAAATATGGAAAAATTGAGAAAAGGTAGGAAAAAATGCATATTTTTCTTGACTTGTAATAACTGCACTGGCTACCATGATCATTATTGCAGCATAACGTCCCTGATAGCCAAGCATGTTTTGCAAATTGATGTAACTTAATGCTGAGCTGAAGTTTTAAAGTAGTTGCTGTGTATTTGCTGAAAACATGATGCATAGTCATACGTAATCGACAACACGAAGGCAAATTTGAGACATTTTGTTTCAGCAGATTCAGAGCAAACGAAGAGCAACTATTGCTCAGTACGTTGTCAACAAAATGACTTTTATTCATAGAAAACTCTTTGCTTTGTCATTCGTTTTCGGCAACATAAGAGCAACACGACGGTAACAAAACAAGACACCGATGTCTGTACTTCTGTCGTATGGTTGGTAAAAACTGTTGACATATATTTATTCTATCTTGTAGCCCATTAAAATGTCGAAAACGAATGACCGTCTTTTAGAATAAGTAGACAAAAATAATTATATTTTAGTAAGGAACAAGTGGTCTTGCGGACTGAGTGCAGGGATTGCAAATATGAAGGTCTCGAGTTCAAATCCCACCCATCACCTTAGGATTTTTTCCGGGTCCGGTATCTTTCATCGAGTTAATTAGTTGATCGGCGAACTACATCAGATCTCCAAAAATTAATTTGAGTAAAATCTTGAACTAATTCCCCTTTCACAATAAATGATGTTGTCAATGAATATATATTTGTCCGTTTTTGATATATTGTATTTTTGCTGAAATTTATGACATATGTTGTTGGCAACTTGTTGTCATGTTGCTCTTTATGTTAGTGATAAACCGTTGACAGCAAATACACAGCAAATTGTCGGCAACACATGTTGAATACGTGTCATGTCAAACCAAAGACAAATGCCTGACTCACCTTGTTCTAAATTTGCTGAAAACTCAAGCGTTTTGTTTTCGGCAACATGACAGCAAAAACACAGACAGGTGGCTATCAGGGGTGCGTCTATTTTCAAATGACTTTGTCTCATACCACTAAAAGATACGAAGTTTTAGCTTGTACGCACTATTTCATTTGTAGTGATTTGCTTATATCTCGTATTAATATATCTATTTTATCACTATTTCTTTAAAAACACATTTTTTTGCACGCTTGTAAAAAGAAGATTATTAATTTATACGCTTAAAGAAAGTTAGGAAATATATTTATATTTGCACGGACATCCAGCATATAAGCTCGCAACGACTCTAATACTTAAGTTATATATATATATATATATATATATATACAAAAATATTATATTTCTATTATTTTCTATTTATAAGTTTCAAGTTTCTGCCATCCCTTGAGACCGCAGCTCGAAACATAAATATCGATTATGTCCTCTCCCTCCTAGATTCGTTTCTGCATTAATAAAATGTATACATAGTTGCTTTTTCAAATGGACAATGTGTTACCATTTCTTGTGCAGGGGTCTTAGTTGTAGTTTTTGGTGCCGTGCTGACAAGTTTGAAGGAGAGAAACAATTGAAAGAGTTAGTTACCACCTCGAAGTGCTGCGTTTGCTCGCGTCTTGCTTGCCAGCCTGCAAGTTCGGCAAGTCCTTTTGTCGTTTCTTAGTTTGCTTCCAAATTCGCCAGTAGAGAAAACTCATTATTATAACAGGAACATAAAACGCTGCAATGGCCGTGCCGAAGGTGATGTAGTGGTTTGTCTCAATAAATTGGATGTAGCACGCTGTTTTCGGTACGGTTCTTTGACCCTCGATATATGGCCACGCGTAAATCCAAGGTGGCCAGAGAACTAATGATATACCCCAGGCACATCCTGAAAACGGAGACAATTAACATTTTGAATATATCTATGCACATCTACACACACACACACACACACGCACGCACACACACATATATATATTTCTTTTAAGAAAAAAAGGCCAATAATTATTATAAAAATTCTTGTTCAATTAGAAGTTGTCTATTACACACACCTATCATGACGGCGGCTTTGGTAGTAGTCCTCTTTGCCCGATAGGTGAGTGGGCGTGTAACGGAGAAGTATCGGTCGAAGCTGATGATAAGCAGATTGAGGACCGATGCGTTGCTCGCAAGATAGTCGAGAGCGAGCCATGTGTCGCACACATGAGGCCCAAGCGGCCAGTAGCCCATCACCGTGTATACGGTGAACAGAGGCATGGAGATTAGGCCGATCGCAAAGTCGGCCACAGCCAAGCTAAAGAGAAAATAGTTGGAGATCGTCTGTAGCTGCTTGTCAATCTTGAACGATATCATGACCATGATGTTGCCAATAACCGTAGTTAGACTGAGAACGACAGCGACCACCACTATTAATACGCGCTCCCATATGCCGTATGCATGGGGCTCACCACCGCAATCGAGACCGTTGCTGCCGTTGTTGTAGAAGCTGTCATTGTCAGGTATCTCTAGTGTCGAAGTAACATTCATGTCTGACAGACTATCTTTCCCTCTCTCTTTATCTCTCTCTGTTATTTCTTCTTTTTATTTCCGAAAGATTGTCGTTTTATGTACGATTTGTACAGACGATTGCGCGTCCTTAGTTTTCTCGCAAACGATCCTCGAGTTCTTGTCCTAAATCCTACGATCTGTGGAAAATCACCGTCCCTACGGAACTCTTCTTCTTCTCTTTTATTCTTTTACTGGCGTGCCCCTTTACCATGCACACGGCAACACAAGTACAGATCACGCGTTATCCACGCTTTCTTCACCCTCCGCACGCTCGCTCGCCCGCTTGCTCACACGCCCGCACGCCCGCACGCCCGCACGCACGCCCGCACGCACGCACGCACGCACGCACACACGTACGTACGCACGCACGCACGTACGCGCGAACGCGCGAACGCTTTTCTGATATTTCTCGTCGCGGGATATCGGAACTCGAACAACAACGCTTATTCGCTACCCTCTCGATTTTTTTCTCTTTCTTCTTCTTTCTCGTTCTCCTCTTCGTCCTCGTCCTCGTCCTCGTCCTCGTTCTCGTCCTCGTCCTCGTCCTCGTCCTCGTCCTCCTCCTCCTCGTCCTCCTCCTCCTCTTCTTCTTCGTCCTTCGCCTCCGTCGTCGTTGTGTTCTTGCTAGGTGGAAGATAGTGTCAACTACATTCCACGTTTGCTCCTCTTGGCAGAGACGTCGAGGCTGCGAGAGAACACAGTACCCCATAGGAAAACATTTATGAAATTATGTGACAAAATCTTGCATGAAAATTGTGATGTGCAATTATGTAGATATATTTTGAGAAATAGATGTAAAATATTGATCTTTTATAAAATATTTGTAATTGTTTGCAAAATTAATTTCCAAATTTATTATTTTGGCAAAATAATATGGCGAATCATCTTAGCAGTATGCTTGCAAAATTAAATTGAAAAAGAAATTGTTCAATAATTGAGAAAATAATTTCAGCTAAGTGATATTTGAAACATGTAGAAATATAATTGCATATGAAGAAATTAAATTAATTCATAACAATTAAATCTTATTGAAGCTCGAGAAGTTACTAAACTATAAAATATATCTACAGTCATACGAGCCGATCGCAGGATGTTGTGCGGAAAAATGCGTATATATATATATATACATATATATATATTTGTTTGCGTGTAAATTTTTACATGCGAGTTTTTGAATTGAATTTCAATTCTTAAATTCATTATCGGATGCCGGATTTGCATCACACATATGAGAGATCCCGTTTACCCCCCTAACTAATTTTTTAAAATACGCATTTTTCCGCACAACATCCTGCGATCGGCTCGTATGACCGTAGATATATTTCATAGTTTAAATTAATTCATGTATATGTTAGCGTCAAAACCCGAAGTCCGGGCAGTTTTAGGATTGACTGGTCAATTCCCGAAAAAAGGTTAGGGTTAGGTTAGGGTTAGGTTAGATTTTTCGGGCATTGACCAGTCAATCCTAAAACTGCCCGGACTTCGGGTTTTGACGCTAACATATATACGTATGGAAATGCAGAACGACTCTTTTCTAATTTTTGACAAATATTACTTACAAAATTTTACTTTGACAAAACTGATGCGTTATGGCGAATCATTTTAGTGCAATCATTGCAAAATTGTTGTCATTCATGATGTCATTTTTGTGCAATTTTTTCAAAATTTGCCTATTGAGGAATATATCGAAAATATGATTAATTATTATAACATAATATCAAAAAAGCATCGCGAGAACGTAATATATGTGTAGTATATACATGCTTGTACGCATGCTTTTGATGATATAAATCAATAGACTGAAATAAACTAATGTAAATTTTTTTATCAATCAAATATGTTTGTAAATCACACGTCGGATTTAATGTCTACTAACGTTTCTGCTCTCGAGACAAGTGCTCACAATTTGTTTCGCGTGGCAAACCCGCCTTATAATTCTCGACTTACTGTCAGCGCGAACTAAGAGACACTTCTGTAATATATATATCTACTGAAGAAAAAACAGAATAGGGAGAAAGAGCGAAAAACTCTTTTGTCATACTTTGGCACGGCGCGGGACTATAGTAAATCGCGAAAAGCGCAACTGATGCCGCAGGGCTTCCATTACGTTTCCGTTAGTTACGTTTACGGATCCGCGCAAAAGATGTGCTTTTTTCTACTTTTTCTTTAACAAGTTACTTATTCGTCTTATAAATAAAACACATTATGCACGCAAAATAAAAAGACAAACGTTCAGATCGTATCAAGTGTGTTCATGTTTTTATCATTCATAGTTTCAACAAATATAACCGTAATTTTTGCGTGTACTGAGTCATTCTTGTCAGACTTGAAAATAAGAATGACGAGAACAAATTATATCAAACAAATTAAAATTAATATCAATAATGAGATAATTGATCCTCTTTTTACTTAATATGCGATAATGATAATCTTATAATTAAAATTTGTTTGATATTTTACTCATAAATTTCTGTTTTCAAATAAAATTTTTTTTCAAATAAATGCCAATTTTTAAATTTTTATAAAATTTTCTTTAATGAGATTTTGTTAGTTTTGGCATAAAAATCTCTCTGAATAGCATGTTTAATACGCGACGTATTTCTCGATGTAACATGCGTGCACCTTACATGACATACAAAATAATACTGTGAAAGCAACGGAAAGCTCGGAAAATGCCGGCGTAAAGTTTCGGGCTCGTTATCGTCTAGAATCACAATTCGATCGCGTTTCACGCGCTTGTTTCTCGTGGTAGATATGAGCGCGCGGCGCAAAACTCGCAGTAGCAAATCCTCGTGTAGCACGAACGAAACAGGCGGCGTTCCAATTACGGATGTATTTCACTTGACAACTTGTTCCGTAAACGTGCGCGTCGCGCGCGTGGCTTTAATACGCGTAGAGTGAGTGTTACGAGATTCTGTGCAGTTCGTCGGTGCATCCCAAAGGATCGTCGCCAAGTTAGTTAATTGTACAAATTAACTAACATTTATAGAGCTCAGACAATAAAATATAGGTAGACTGCCTGAAATGCTGATAAATAGAATGCATATTACTACGCTTAATGAACATTTGTTTTATCTGTACATTTGTTTTTCATCTATCTACATCAAATGTTCAAGAAATTATCTTTTAAATTTTTATATCAATGCACTAAAACAGTACTTGTGTAATTAAAATCTTACTTTTTTTATTATTATATCCGTTATTTTTCGAAGAAAAATATCAGAATATCATTTAAAGATAAAGTTGTGTAACAACAATTAAGTTCTTTGAGGAGAGACAGAAATAAACAATAATTGACTAAAAAAAGTTTGTCTTTAGGTTTTCTTCAGTCTTTATTATAATAAAAACTTTCGCGTAAAATTAAGCTTCTGTATAAAAATTAAGCTTCAAATTAAAAGTTAAAAAATCAGATCCGCACGATATTTGTGTGTTTCTCAATTAAAAACCTATTTTGAAAAAATTTTGAAAGTTTCTTATATTATCCCAAAAAACATTAAGAAAGATAAACAGGACTAACGTACTCGATAACTGCCATAATTGCAACAGATTCCTCATCGAATGCGGTCAGTTCGATATCCTTGGTGAGGCGGTCGAACTGCTGCTGCGGCAAGGGCGTGGAAGGATGCATGTTGCGCCAGGTGTGCAACGCGATTACCTCTCCGTTAAGTGCGCATGGCATGCCCGACGCCTGTAATTATAGAAACGCTAGCAATATTTAAGCCGTTTGCAAGAATGTGTGATTGCACAGATTCTTTGCAAATACTAGGTACTGTCGTAGCAAAAAATTAATGTTCCTGACTCAGAAATTAAACGATTTCAACATTTATACAAAAGAACATTCGAGTTCTAGGAATACGAAAGGCGATATGAATAATGTACTGATTCTTAATGTACTTTATTATAGATGAGATTATATTCGTTTTTTTAATAAACGTTTCGATCCAACATCTGAATCTTTTTCAGTGTGTTCTAAATGTTTAATGGGTGGTTCGATAAATTAACATGAGAGCGGAGAGTTCACAAAGAATAACATGATATTAAATACAACAACTTACCAAGAATAAGTCAAAGAAAGAGGCTGTACATCTCTAAAGTGATTGGTCACGTTTATTAAAATAGATGTCAGTATTAAATAGAGTCAACGTATAATAATAAAGATGTCCAGAGTTTAAAGTCAGTTAGTTGTTGTCACCAACTATTCTACGAGACGCAACCTTTACATTTCAGGGTTTGTATATATATATCGTAATCCTCACATACCGGAGTAGATGTCAAAACAAGAAACTCAAAAAGGAAAAATTCATCAACTTACGTTTTCAAATATTATTATTTCAAATACTATTATTTCTTTTTCAATGATTCAAGAAATGAAAAATAAGGTCTCGATTTTTTGGTATCCGACATTATGTTTATAGGATTTGCTTGTAGTTTAATATAGATAATTTCAAAACTTGCTCTTTTATGATAAAAATTCTCATTGTCTAATATCTTAATGTCGTTTTATTTGAGATCATAATCTGAATTTTTTATCATAAAAGAGCAATTTCTGAAATGATCTATATTATATTAAATGATCTATATTATATTTATGAAATGATCTATAAGCTACAAACAAATCCTATAAACATAATATCAAATACCAAAAAATTAAGACCTTATTTCTTATTTCTTGAATCATTTAAAAAAAGAAATAATAGTTTGAAAACGTACGTTATTGAATTGTTTCTTTGTTTCTTTGTTCTGAGTTTCTTGTTTTGACATCTACTCCAGTGTGTGGGGATTATGATATATGTGCAAGTCCTAATGTGAAGGTTGCCTCTCGTGGAATAGTTGGTGACAATAACTGACTTTAAACTCTGAACATCTTTATTATTATACGTTGACTCTCTTTAATATTGACATTTATTTTAATAAACATAACCAATCATTTTGTAGATGTGCAGCCTCCTCCTTTGATTTATTCTTGGTAAGTTGTTGTATTTAACATCATGTCATTCTTTGTGAACTCTCCGCTCTCATATTAATCCATCAAACTAACCGTTAAACATTTAGAATACATTGAAGAAGATCCGGACGTTGGATTGAAACATTTGTAAAACAAATATAATCTCATCTATAATAAACAGTACACTAAGAATCAGTACATTACTCGTATCGTCTTTCCTAAGAATTTTCAACGAGGAACATTCAATTTGAGTAGTAATTTTGACTTTTTCAAGATAACATTGTTTTGATCATATTTATGCTAAATAAGTTAAGAAAGAGAAAGAGAGAGAGAGAGAGAGAG